CCTACCCACCGCTATCGGCGATCCGCACTTCGGCCCACCTCTCGAGTCAGCACTCTTCACTTCTCCGATCCTTCCTCATCCGCCTCTTGAGCACAAGATTCAATCCATCATGCCTCAAACAGATCACTCTCTTAATCTATAGAGGGATTAAACATCGATGGGAAGCACAAAATCCAATTGCTTCAATCGATAGCCAGGATGAGAGGAGAGGGTTCGTCAGCCACTACAGACAGCAATTGGAAAGGGGGTTTGAGCGTTGACATGAGTGGGAAAAGGAATAAATCGCCAAACTAAAATTGTAAGTAAATATAACTTAATGGATTGGAGACATAATTAGAATAAAATTTGGTACTATAATTCGAAAATATGTTGAAAAGTTTGTTTAGGGGTTAAAGGGTACGCATAAAAAATTAATAGGACCAACTAATCATTTAAAAATTGTAAAAATTAAATAATTTAATTCCAATTAATAAACACCGTTAGATTAGATCTACGGTGTAGAAATCCTGTCACATAGTATGTGTCTGACGCATACGAGTGTAACCCATATATATATATTTGTTTAGGGGCTAATAAATAAATTAACCATTATGTATAAGATATTGATGGTTTTGATGGTTTTAAGTTTTTTATTAACGTATGTTCACTTGAAGTCATTTGAAATCTTTAACGGCAGGAGATCCCTTTTTAATTTATGCTTATGGTATGTGGTGTAGAGTATATGATATATGGTTAGGGTATAGCAATTGGCAAATATCACTTTTTATCTATGTTTTGAAAATCAAAGTATGAATTTCACTTTTAAATAACTCGTTTTGACACATATTTGGTAATTCGAACAATTTTACAAATAACTCGTCTGACAACAGTTTACTGAAGTTATTTGGGCAATGAGTTATTTCGAAATAACTCCTTTTATCACTCTGCTTTTGCCAAATACCACACGCCAAATACTAGATTTGCATGGTTATACTAAACGAGATATTTTAATCCAATTACTACTGAAATAATACTAAAATATCAAATAAAAAATTAATGGTGTCTTTTGGTTACAAATATTAATATCACCATTACTATTAGTTTGTGTACTTTACAAATTATGATTAATTACATATAGGGCTACAAATGAGTCAAGCCGCTCACGAGCGGCTCGGTGCTCAGCTCGAGAGAAATTCGTTCGATACTCGGCTCATTGCTTAATTAGTTGGCTCGTTAGCTCTCTCGTTTACTAATAAGACGAGCCTGAACCAAGTCTTGTTAAGCTCGCGAGCTAACTGGACTCGTTGGCTCGTTGAGCCTAACTCGCGAGTTAACTCGATTAAAGCTTGCAAGCCAACTAGATAATGTGACTCACAAGCAACTATAGCCTTAATACTCTATATTTGTTTGCTTACGCTCGGAAATGGCATTTATGGATTGTACTAGATCAATAGCATACTAATCAATAGCATACTAATGGAAATCCAGCAACCTCATTTCCACTACACAAAGTTTTATTCTCTGGTATTAATTACATTGTTTAATTATTGCTCTTGATCCTTATAATGGTCTGCATTCTGATTTTGATACTAGATATTCGGCAGCATATTTAACGAGCCGCGGCTTGGTGGGGAAAGATGTCAAGTTGTACCTCTTGGTGTAAAACCTCAAGCCTGTAAGCGATGTAAAGGAACTGGCACGTTTAGTATTGTAGATGCAGTAGACTCTACTGAGAACAAGTGTTTATGCCAGGTGTTTCTGACTATGTATTACACTCTGCATTTAGTACAAACAAATCCAGACATACCACTTTCAATTGAGGGATTTTGACTCAGCGATCCCACATGGGCTATGAGGAAGAAGAGGAGCAGTACATCATGTCATCGGTCGGACTCCGAGCTGCCCTCTGCTGGAGTTTCTTTATCACTACGAAAAGATATGTTGCCTTCTGCGGACTATGATGAAGCCGAAGATAGAGGGTTTGGTTTTATCTCTATTTCTTATTTTACCACATCGACAAATGAAGAGAAAACCCATATTTCATTGACCATTATAATTGTGGTTGGCATCTGTCATGAAATCTAAATCCTTGAGTGGTCTGGCTAGTGGATACACTCTATTTGAGTGGGCCTATAGTTTGGCCTTCTTAGGGTCCGATAGTGGGGGCTCTTTTGTTGCCTTTATCGAATTATGGGTTGTTAAAGCCCATAACAATAGGTTGTTTGACGAGCCTTTTGGTTTGAATGGGCTCTTGGAGCTTAGTATTCAAGCCTTTATCGAGATGTATTCGAGTCGAGCTCGAGCTGGGTAATGTTGAAGTCGATCCGAGCTCGAGCTTGGGATTTTAGTTTCGAGTTCGAGCTGAACTAGTCAATAACTCGGGAAAAGTTAATCTGCTAACTTGAAAATTCGTTAGCAGATACTAACTGATATCCAAAATACATGAATTAGTATCCAAGTACTAAAGTATCTAGAAAAGCACAAACTAGTATTCAAAGTTGGCTAACTAATATCCACCATGAATCAACTATTATCCCAAATTCACAAACTAATATCTAAACAACACAGAATAGTATCCATACAGCACATAAATAGTATCCATACAGCACATAAGAGTATCCAGATAACACATAAGAGTATCCATATTGAATACTAATTGGTTGGTTGTGGATAATAGTTGGTATCTGCTATCTGGATACTAGATTGTGATGTTTTGAATACTAGTCTGTGCTATCTAGATACTCAACAGACTTGGATATTAGTTCATACATTTTGGATATTAGTTAGTATATACTAACGAATTTTCTAGTTAGCAGAATAACTAGCCTGCAATAACTCGGCTCGGCTCATTTGCAACCCTAATTACATAACAAGTTTGCAAGTGTAGTCCTAATTACATAACAAGTTTGCAAGTCATACAAATTGATTTAACATTTTGACTAGTTTTTTTCAAAAAAATTAAGAATATATATACGAGGTAGAAATAAATTGGTTAAAAATTTGAGAAATTTTTTTTAAATTAGTGTAATAAAATGTGTAAGTTGGTAACGAGTAATGAGTAAGTTACTCGATGCGCTAGCCCGAACAACCCGAAACCCGATCCGCCCACCACCCGCCCAACCCAGAACCCGATGGACTCGCAACCCGATTTGCCCGCAACCCGATTGAACCCGAACCCGATGAACCCACAACCCGACTAACCCGCAACCTGTTTGAACCCGAACCCAAATCCGATTGAACCCATCCCGAACCCGCCCGATTGACACCTAAAGCTACAGGAGAGAGGCTTGGTCATCGGGCATGGTAAGGCAAGGGAATGAGTTTGTTTTAAGTTGGCATGGTAGCCAAGTAGGAAGTTTAATTGGCCTCCACTGCGGGGCTATGATGGATCCCTATGAAACAATTTAAGTATTTTGTTTCATTTAGGATGGTGATCAATCAATCAAGGCCAACCTTTTTCTTTATGGCTTTGTGTCATGTGTCCTAAGTGGTTGGGATGGTGAAATGAAGTTATGTTTTGGGTTGGGAATTAAGTTGGTGAATATTGGCTTTAATTAAGTCAAAACTAGGTCATGATGAGTTTCAGCAGGCTTAGGTGGATACGTATGCCTTGATGAAGCTAGTACTTAATTTTAAGTGGCCTAGATGGTGTCAACAACTTAGTGGATAATCCTTATACACTAAGTTGTGGGGGACATTTGTCTATCCCTAAAAAATAAGCTTGTATCACATCGATTAACTACACGATATTTAATGGATTTATAAGGCCAGCTCAACATTAATAATTAAAAAAGCTAGCTGGGCATTGTTGGGATGGGAAAGAGCGTTGGTATTTACTAAATGGGATGCTTTGAAAGCATGGTTTAATGATGGTACAACTATTTTATACCGCTAAAAATATAATTATCTATAGGTTTAGTCACCGGTAAAAGTGTTTTTAGGTCGGACAGCCAGCGCAATATGTCAAACATGGAATCTTATAGTTGTAACTATTTTTATGTTCTGTGGTTTGGTTCAAGTATCAAGAAAACGAACCTATGCATGTGGGCTACCGAGCGGTAGTACATGAAATGAGGAGAAGGGAGAACGAGTTTGGGCAAGGAAGGACTTGACATGAACCCGATAAAGTCGTAATTCGAACAACAAATGAATTGTAGCCTAATGAAAATTAGGTTATTAATAATAATAGTGTCTTAGATTTAAATTACCAAAACTACGATTATATTCCCATATGCAACCTAAAAGATAATAGTAGGATAATCCTTTTTCCAAATTTCAGGAGTGTCCCTCACTATCAATTATAATTAACTTATTTGTCCATACATAAATTACAACTGGGGGTTGAATAATCATTCTCTCAAAATTTATGGGTATCCCGGGACACCCCAAAGTCCCTTGGGTCCGCCCCTGAATTTGATTGTCGAATAACTCGATTAATTCTAATCCGACTGATAATTAACTCGTATTTTGTAATCATATATATATGATTGGCCATGTTTGAACGTTGCATGGGTTCCTTGAGGAAGAAGGTCGCGGAAGTCGAACTCCCGCGTTGGTAAGCAGAGACACATGCAAGCAGATTGGCGTTGGATTATTATTGAACAAGTCCGGCTTGACTTTTTATCATGAGTTCCATTGAAATCTTAACGTCTTCTTCGGGTTGATTAATAATGAATTTCAACAAGAACATAGGAAAATGAATTAGAGCACGTATGTATTCGTTAACTGAACATAATATATAAAAATATATATATACGTTTACATTTTTGACCGGCCAATATTAATTGGGTCGTTTTATGAATTCATGACGATTATTCCTCTTTCTCATCAATCAACACGGTGTAGCTAAGGATATGAGTGCGTACCTAACTATAAATAGCCTCAACCTCATTCGATCAATAACCCACACACAAACCAAAACACGTACAGACATTCAACAAGTTAACTTCCTAGCTAGCTAGATCTCCTTGTAAATCTTGGTGTATTAATTGTGACTTTGGCATACATAGAGAAAGAATAATATGACGAGCTCCGATTTGTCTGTCTCTGCAAGAAGGCTGGAAGGCAAAGTAGCAATTATAACCGGTGGGGCTAGCGGCATTGGCGAGAGCACTGCCAGACTGTTCGTCCACCACGGGGCCAAGGTCGTGATCGCGGACGTTCAAGACAAGCTCGGTGAATCCCTGGCTCGAGAACTCGGCCCACCAGAAGTCGTCTCCTTTGTCCACTGCAACATTACAAGCGATTCTGATGTTCAGAACGCGGTGGATACTGCGATGTCGAGGTATGGCCAGTGGGACATCATGTACAACAACGCTGGAATCGGAGGAAACCTCGACACAACCATCCTAAACTCCGAAAATGGTGACTTCAAGAGGGTGCTGGAGATCAATCTGTTCGGATCATTCCTTGGAGCCAAGCATGCCGCTAGGGTTATGATCCCAGCAAGGAAAGGTTGCATCTTGTTCACCGGCAGCGTTGCGTCTTCCATAAGCGGGGACCTGTCTTACGCATACAAGGCTTCCAAGCATGCGATTTTAGGACTCAACAACAACCTGACTGTGGAGTTGGGAAAGTATGGGATCCGTGTCAACACCATTTCCCCATATGGTGTGGCCACTCCCATGGTGACAAGTGGCATGCAGATGGAGAAGAAGGCAGCTGAAGAATTCATGTCGGCTGCGGGGAACTTGAGAGGCGCCATCTTGGAACCCGAGGATGTTGCCAGAGTCGCGCTCTACCTGGCTAGTGACGATGCCAAATACGTCAGCGGACTCAATTTGATTGTGGACGGAGGTCATAATCACAACCATCCTCTCTTTGCTGCCTCCGCTTGAGCTCCTGCTGGCCAGCTCATAATTACATCTTTCTTTCTATATTCTTCTCATTTTTTCATTCTTGGCATCTCTTATATTTATTTATTCTTTTTATTTCTCTGTTCCCCAATCTACATGTCCAACTTAAATAATATTTTGTTAGCACCGGACCTTTGTTAACTATTTTTCTGGTTTGATTTGATCATGTATATATTCAGATATTTCCAATCTGTTTTCCATGTATTAATCTATGCGTGTGTATTAATTAAGTTTCTTTGCTCTTTATCTATCGAGTTCCCTTGAGATAGGATTTATCAAGAGTTTTGTTCAAACAACCAATGCAATAAACGAAATTGTAAACTCATTTTGGATCAACTGCTATTCACGACAAAGAGATAAATTTGTTCTCGAAACTTATCAAACATTTTATTTTAAATAATGACGATGAATTCTAAAAACATCTTTTTGAAAGCATTAGATTAGTATGCTCATAAGTGTATATTTCCTTCCCGTGTCTTCTAAAAACTCATTTTGGATCAGCGGCTATTTCCTTCCCATGTCTTCTCTCCACCCTCTGACGAATTAGGAACCAAAAACAATTGAAATCTATAACTCTATGAAACCGAAAACTGAAAGAAACCTGGAAACCCGGAACTCTAAATTTGACTCCAAACCATTGACCACAACAACCGTTTCCGTTTCCGTCACCGTCAATATCTCATTTATGATATCTAGATTCAATTCTTGGAGGATGAAAACTAGAAACCCATGACACTTCAGATTCGATTTCAGGACTAAATTGCACTGGTCTTCTTCATAATGCTCTATGATAGCCTTGTCGTATTAGCTGGTTCGCTTATCCTCCATTGGGGACAGGTGATTCTTTTGTGATGACCACTCCGGCTCAATTGGAACACATAACTAACCAATGCAATAAAGGAAATTGTAAACTCATTTTAGATCAACGGCTATTTCTGACAAAAAGATAAATTTGTTCTCAAAACTTATCAAACATTTATTTTAAATAATGACTACGAATTCTAAAAACATCTTTTCTAAAGCATTTGATTAGTATGCTCTTAAGTGTGATTTATGAGAAAAATATTCATATGAGAAAGGAGGGATTTATTAGGGATTTTTTACCCAAACCACTCATCCCAAAAACTAGATAATTATTATGTGGGATTTGTATCAAATTCCTTGTTTGTTTACCAATATCGTTTTTCAATTAAAAAAAAGTAAAACTTCATTTTTTTTCTTTTGTTCTTTCCCTTCTTCTTACATTCATCCATAACCTAAAAACCCAAAAAATTATTATGTGGGATTTGAGCAGACTGCTGCCTCTTTCAATACTGTCGTTCCAACCGTTATACTTTGTAGTTTCAATCGGCCCATCCTTTCACGCGAGACTAAATTGCGGGTGATGCTTGATAATCAACGTCGGGCTAGCTACATAACACTTCATTCATCTTCCCTGCCAAAGTTCCCTAGCTGCCTCAATGGTCAAACCAAAAAATCAATGATACAATACTCGATTCCTAATTTGTCGGAGAAGAAACAGTATCCTTTATTACTGTACTATAGTTTTCAATCTCAATTGTGGTGTATGTCGGTATTGCTTGTGACGATACATGTGTTGGTGTCCAATAGCCATTGAGATTCACCACTTGGTGCCTTTTGATTTGTCCTCAATTTATTTTGATAGGTTGAGATATCACATTGGTTGAAAATGCAAATATCGATCTATAGGTTTACCTACCAGTAAAAGGTTTTTGGTCGGACTGCAAGCGCATATATATGTCAAACATGGAATCTTATAGTTGTAACTATTTCTAGTTTTTGAGGTTTGAAACAGAGGCGATTCATTGGTGTAACTATTTCTATTTCTAGTTGTAACTATTCTTGGTCTCGATTCATTGAAATGTAGAGGTTGATCATCGTGGAAGAATAGATAGGCAAGTGAAAGTGGGTCAATGTAAGATCAATTTTTTTCGAGAATACCATTGTTGCCTTATCAAATTCCCATAATACAATACTTTCACCAAAATTTTCCAAAATACTAGAGTTTGAATGCAGTTCTCTAGTGTCAACTGTGTACCGGTATTCTCGTACATTATATCGCCGATGTCAAAGACAATATATATTAATCAGTGCTCGCAAAGCTATCCAAGGGTATCGCTGGAATGAACAACGAACAAACCCAAGAGATCAATTTTCAATATTTTTTTAGGGAAAAAAAATTTTGGCCTCTCGGTACCAACTGCATACCATATGGTATCTTCTTCGTTTTTCATTCGTTTTTTAAAACGTTTGCACAGTAGGGACGAGTTCATCATGATCTATTGGATCTACAAATTTCTGGGTGAACAAATTACAAGACCAAAAAATACCACCAAATACCATACAATACCACCCTGGTACGGGGTGATATTTTATGGTATCTTATGGTATACAATGTTAAAAGTCGTAAATGACAATTAATATACTTCTACTATCATGTATTCAATCATCCTACAGTCTTGGTTTGTTGATACCACCATGGTACGCTTTTCAAACCATAGGTATGCTCTTATTTCAATACCAGTCAATACCATATGGTATAGACTGGTAAAAATGACTCAATTTTTTTTTGTTAAAAAAATATATCAAAGTGGATATCATTTTGAAGAGCACAATTAATCTGATCTAACTGTGCAAAAAAAATTAAATTTCAACTTAAAACGAGTGAGAAATCGTCCGTCAAAGATTAAGGAGGGGAAAATTAAAGGCTTTCCAGGAGAGAGAGGATACTGATGTCATGCTGATGAGGGCGGGTTACTCATAGTTACTCACCACAAAGTTACTCACCTGATCCATTCTCAGGCTCAAGATAGGTGCATAACCATGGGTTATGCATTCATCAATAACCAAATCTGGACTCTTCATTTAGAAAATCCAGATTTATGGATGGAGAATTAAAGACGATTTTTATTTTCCCTAGCTTTCTTAATCGGCTCATTTCTTTTTCGTTTTAACTCGTATTTTAATTTTTTTTTTTTGCACAGATGGAACGAGTTCATCGTGCTCTACAAAACGAGATCAATTTTCAATATTTTTTGAGAAAAAAAAATTCTGGCCTCTCGGTACCAACAACATACCATATGGTATTTTCTTCATTTTTAATTCGTTTTTGGAAACGTTTGCAAAGAAGTTACGAGTTCATCATGATCTATTGGATTTACAAATTTCTGGTTGAACAAATTACAGGACCAAAAAATACCACAATACCATACAATACCACCCTGTTACGGGGTGGTATCTTGTGGTACACAATGTTAAAAGTCGTAAATGACAGTTAATATACTTCTACTATCATGTATTCAACCATCCTATAGTCTTTGGTTTGTTTATACCACCATGGTACACTTTTCAAACCATAGGTAAGCTTTTATTTCAATACCAGTCAATACCATATGGTATAGACTGGTAAAAAATGACTCAATTTTTTTTGTTCGAAAAATATATCAAAGTGGATATCATTTTGAAGAGCACAATTAATCAGATCTAACTGTGTAAAAAAAAAATCGACTTAAAACGAGTGAGAAATCGTCCGTCAAAGATTAAGGAGGGGAAAATTAAAGACTTTCCAATTCCAGTAGAGAGAGAAATGCTGATGTCATACTAATGTAGACAGGTTACTCATTATTACTCACTATAAAGTTACTGACATGATCCTTTCCTCTTGCCTTCACACGCCACCAAGGGCAGAAACCCTCCCAAATTACAGAAGCGATCTTAATTTGTCATTCAATCCACCACTATAACAAAATCCCAATTAGCCTCCCTTTCTGTCCTCTTTCCCAGCCGCCTACCAATCTCCGTAGATGGAATCCTAATCGGCTGACTCATCGGATTCTTCGACAAGCTGGTCGTAATCCATGTGCGTCTCTACTCTTGTGTGATGTTGGGGTACGATGCTTAAACAATCAATTGGTATATGGATTCTAACATTTTTGTACGTTTAGATTAATTCGATGTTTACATACACGTTTTTTGGTTTTGGCAGCCATGAATCGACTCCTAGTTATGCCAAGAAAAGAATAAGACCTAATTCAACTGGAGCCTAACTGATGAGGCACGTTCTCCGTTTGCGAGAAGAATTCTGTGTACCATCTTCTGATATCAAACTGGAGGCTACCATTTATTCCTATAGGGGCTGGGAATGGCAAGGTAAAAGGCACGTATTCTCTTAGTTTTATTTTGCTTGGTTCGGCATTGCTACTGGTAGCTTGTCCTGTTCTTTTTAATTGTGTGTCTTCTTCTTCTTCTTCGTGTAGTTCTAGCGGAGACATGGGTGATTTTAATGTTGTTTGATGGGTGATGATTATTTGCTTGGTTAGTATTACCCTTAAGGTCTTAACATGGATTGAATGATCTTCATCACAATGTTTGTCTTAGGAAAAGAATAAGGATCCTTACTTCTGCATATTGTTAATCACAAAATAAAGGTAACACAATCAATTAATTTACCTTGAAAGTATAAGTAGTAAGAGTTCTCCTTAGCGATCTCAAACCTTTATGAAGAACAAAGGTAGCCAATATATCATTAATGCCACTTCCCCAATTTCTACTAATCGATCCTTTGAACACTAAAATCAAACAACTACTTAATTGGTTTCTGAAGGCTAGCTAGTTACATTATTGTTCAGTAATGTCTTTCACTCTTTAATGTACATGTACACTATAATTATGTTATTCATTGAATTTACTCACTGTTGACAATGCTAGGTGTTCTTATCTCCTTCCATTCAGAGGTAAAGCCGAGTTAAGAAGATAGTTTCATCTACGATTCGAGGCACAATTAGCAGAGCAAAACAAGAAGTTGCAAGTACACCTTGCTGACCTTGAGGAAAGCCTTTGAGAATTGTTGTCTTCGAAATGATCTCTCCAATTTGACGATGGCAAAGGAGAACCTCATCAGTCTCCCATTTCTGCTTTTGTGTTTGAATACTATTTCGTATCTCTAATAACATTAGAGTTTA